AGTGCTGGGTTAACGGTTGGACTCGATGATCTTAAGGGTCTTTTCCAACCTAAACGATTGTATGATTCCAAGCCAAAAGACGTGGCTGCCTGCAGTAGCTTTGGGTCACAGGTAACCTACTTGTCACTTCAAGGGGACTGACAGTGACAGTGAATGGCAGCGTGAGAGGGGAGAGGACTCCAGAAACCTTGGGAAGAGGCAGGGAATGCTCAGCAATCAGCAAATAAAAGCACAGATTTGGGGAAGGGAGAGAAGGGCTCTACTGTCCCCTTAGTGGTGCTCAGAGACCCTACTTGCCTGTAGTAACCACTCTCTGTCCTGGTCAGTGCAGGGTGGGGAGGAGGGGACCTGTGTCTAATTACGCTTTAGGGTTCCTACTGCTTATTGCTTTCTGGGTTCGAGTTTTGCTGAGCCTGGCAGCTCTCAGCCCCAAGATGTTGAGCTCCCGATGGCTGTGAGTCCCCATTGCAGCGGACACGCAGTTACTGACCCAGATATCACAGCTTGCACATGGAGAGTTCTGAATGTGATTTGCAGAAGCTCCAGGTACATTTCCATGTCATCTTGCACCAAAATAAGTGGAAACTGCTGCAGTGTTGCTTTCTGTCTGTGTATCAGCGCTGCTGACCCAGGTCAGGGCACTGTTTTGGGGGTTAGCATTTAGCTTACGGTGCAGATGGACACAGGATAGCGCCAGGGGCAGGGGAGGAGGCAGGAGAAGTGAGGGGAGGCCACAGCAACGCTTGACGAAGGTGCCGTGGAACCACAGTCTTACGGTCAGCTGATGAAAGAGAGGAAATGCTTGAACAGAAGAATTTTGTTGCGAAATTCAGGAGGGTAAGGTGGGACTGAGATCTTGTCTTTGTTAAATTCCTTTGGGGATCAGAGTGCAGAATAAGGATACTCCATAGCAGGGAAGACTGTGGCATGTTAGAATGAGCTATTTCCTTCTGAAAGGCTCCCCCGTCTCTGTTGAAGCACACAGCATTCGTTAAATTGATTTTGTTAGCTGCAGAGATAAGACGGGAAACATCTCTTGTGAACGAACCATGGGTTGAAGAGGAAACTCACTGCGATATGAATGCATATACCAGCTTAGGAAATCTTGATAAGTTTTTTTTAAAAACCCAGTGCTTCCACCAATTGCACGCCCATCTTCCTGGTACAGGAGCACTTGTTTGTTCAGTGTTTATGCAAGAGGCACTACTTCAATGTCAAATTCTCTCTCTTTTGTCTGCAGTCTGCTTTCAGGGTGTTTACTTCAGTCTGTATGAAGTAGAAATATCAAATAAGGATCAATATAAAATGGATCGGTTAATAGAAAATCTAAAGGAAAAGGACTTGGTAAGTATTTTAAAACATTGTCGTTCTGGGAGGAAAGTGGCCTTTTAAATGATCTCTTGAAACTTTTGGTAACATTATTCACAGATTGTGAACTAATGCAAAATGGACTTAATTTCCCTGCTTCAATTATTATTCTCCTGCTTGGTTATTCTCAAACATAGTTTAGTCTTTCTGTATATAAATTGTTAACTGAAGATTACCCACTATGAGCTGGGAACTGATTTCTAGGGTGAACATGCCCTGCTGAGCAGAAGGCATTATACAAGGCAAACCTCTTCTTTGGCTGTGTTTATGCCAGAGGAGATTATTTTATTGTCTTTATTAAATGATTTCCCCCCTGCATTGCAAACAGCATGGTGGACAAGGACTACAAGGGGATCTTATATATTAAGAAAGCAGAAGCAAAGTCCTCCAGTGCCAGAGTGATAATTACTAAGCAAAAGACATAAGCCGTCACGTGCCTGCCTTTCTCCCTCGTGGCTGAAAAATAGCCCCCACTCAGCTAGAAACTCACAGTTACGCTGCCAAAACTTCATGGGCTTCCAGGAGCTCTGAAGATGCTGAGATTTCTGCTTTTTTTAATGGGGAATTTCCCTTGCAATATATTATCTGATGAGGCTTTTTTCCAGCACACTGGGGTCTCTTTGTTCCCAGTGCGATTGTCACGTTACCTTGTGACTCCGGGCGATAAAACTCACCCCCCTGGAGCACAGCACCTGCCTCTCTGCTGGGATCTGCGGTTGGGTTGGGTTTGGCTTTGCTGCTGCTAGTTGCTCTCTCACATCTGATGCTTCCTGTAGATTCAGGGTTGTAAATTCACGGCCGCAAACTCACGGCTGGCTGGACGCCTCCTCCGCTCACTCTAAGTTGGCAGCGGCCCATGAACTGTCTGGATGTGCTGTTGCTGCATGGCACTGCTGAAGAGCTGCCCACCGATGTGTAGCTTCCCCCACGTGACGTACCGGAGCAAGAGTTTGTTGTGGATCCCTGTAAGAAAACCACTCTGACTCCCTAAAGTATTGATTAAACTATCGTTTATTGGTAACAACATGAGAAGAAAAAAAAGGGGATAGCAAAGATAATCTTAACGTCCCTTCACGTGCAGGTGATCCTGAAGTGTGCAGCATCATAGAATGCTTTGGGATGGAAGGGACCTTTAAAGGCCATCCAGTCCATCCCCCCAGCAATGGGCAGGGACATCTACAACCAGATCAGGTTGCTCAGAGCCCCATCCAGCCTTGAACGTTTCCAAGGATGGGGCATCTCCCACCTCTCTGGGCAACCTGTGCCAGTGTCTCACCACCCTCATCATGAAGAATTTTTCAGTTGGACCCCCGGCTGGGGCGCAGATCTGTCCATGCTGCAGCTTATCTTAAGGTTCCCAGCATCTGAAGGGACACAAGCTTATCTATGCCATCCCTTTTTTCTTCTCTTGTTCTCACCAAGATATTTTAATCAATACTTTACAGATCTCAAATGCCTTTCTTGCTGGGCTCTGTGACAACCGCTTGTTCTGGTGCATTACACCGTGTCTGCAGCCACTGAGGGTTATAACATAGATCCTGCCAAGCCTAGCAGAGGAGCCTCTAGAGGAGTCAGGGAAGATGAGATAGTTGAGTTGTGGCTGTGAGTAGTGTGGTATTGAGAGCCATCAGGAGCATCGTTTTCCCTAGAGCTTCCCCACCCTCATATATCTGTCATCTGGATTAAAATATCTCCCCTATTTCAATGAGGAAACAGTGGCAGCCCATTTTGGGTGTGCTTCTTCCCTCCCCTTAGCATGCCGTTGAATGGCCCATGGGTGAATCCGCTTTGGCGGCAGCTCCCAAAAGTGCAAATGAAAAATGCCCTCCGTCTCCTTTCCCTTTCAGTGGTGCATGGGCCAAGCACGCACCTTGCGCAGGGCCCAAATGAAAATGAAAGGGTGGCTGGAGCTCGGTGGGGTTGCCCGAGGCCAGCTGCACTCCTCTGGGTGCTGAATGACGTCTCTCAGCTCTGTGCCTGGTGGCTGCTGCCTTATGGCTTGACTTTCCTCCTCACCTGCCTGAAAATCATCCTGTCGGTGAGAAACCACAGCTATTTCATTGAGCTGGATTTATGCAGCAGAGATGTTGGCTCTTATCCCTTCTGCTCTGCTGGCTTGGGACAACCAAAGCAAGGAGCTACTGTTTTGAGTAGTGAATATTACACTGAAATTGTTCAGCATTTCCAAAGTTGTTCCGTTGTCCTGGAGAAATGAGGTTGTGGGCGTTAGTCCAATCCTCTGTTATGTCTGAACATACTGAATGGGATCAGCAAAGTTTCACAGAGCATTAGAAGCCCTCGGGTTGTTCAGTTCCTGTAAGTTTCCTGAAAAGATGTGTCTGCATGGAAGAAAGAGATCCAAATGGGTGTCCCCACGGAGGGAAAGGCAGTCCAAGCCAAGCTCTGCAATCAGGCATCAAGCAACACCCAAGCACAAGAAAAGCCTCGATAAGTGCACGTATCTTTTTAGACATGCAGTCATCCAGCCCTGAGACGGAGTCGCAGGAGTCTCTTAGACTCAGCAGATTTTTTTTTTTTCCCCACATATTCATTGATACTCACGCTGCTAATAAGCAAGCTGCATGGCCTGAACTGCAGTCAGGCTTGTGGCTGGGACCGTTGGTTGTGTATTGTCAGATGCTGGTGCTGGTGTCCAGCTTTGCTTTCCCTGCTGGGAAAACCTTCCCTTTGGGCTGCGGAAAGCAATTCCTGGCTGAGATCCCCAGGAGCTTTTGAACTGAAGGGACTAAGATTATTAACCTTATTCATTAATTACGGCTAGTTTGGCTAAGCATATTTATTTTTTAAGGAACAGATGGGAGGAATTTGAGAGCTGAATAACAGCATAAACGGAATGCTTTTGGTTACAGGTCCCAGTTGACCCAAGTGGCACAGACCAAACAGCGTCCTCGTCAGCAGGGAATGAGCTGGTGGCGTTGGCACACGTTCACCAGCCATCGAGGCTTGTTGACAGTCCTGCTGAGTGATACAAAGTGTGCTAAGGAGGAAAGGGAGTGGTTGCTCTAACTTTATATGTGTTTGTTATAGGCAATCATCAAGTATTTACAAGATCAAGGAGTCCTTATCCTCCTGACGTCCTCTGCCTTGGCACGAGATGATGGTAAGACATGGCTACATAGAAACCAATATCTGTGCTTAAACATCCTGCCCTGTTTTAGAGACAGAGGGTGGGCACCCTCAGTCTAAACAAAAACTGTTGCTTTCTTTCATAGGATTCGACCCTAAGGAGCCCGTCAGCCTCCTAGCCCTGTTTCTGTTCACCTCGTCCCGCTCGGTGTGCCTGAGAGGTAGGGAGGTTCCCTTTGCTGGCTTCAGATGCTGTGTTTTGGGTGTGGGATCCTCACCAGAGGGTCCTTGCAGACACGTTCCTCTTGAAGAGCTGATTTCTCTGCTCAGAACCACCTACAGCTTTAGCGCAAAGGGTGTTAAAAAGAGGAGAGAAAAGTCCTGACTCTCTAGCTATGCTGCGTTTTAAGCTGATCTAAACCAGGTTCCTGCATTGCCCATTCCCTGCACATCCTTGCCCCTTTGCAGGAAGTTGATGGGAATGACAAATAATTACTTTTCTCCCTTTCAGTCAGTTTTCAGCAGCATCAGCTACCTGAACTATCTAATGTGTGCACATGGGAGTCTGCCTCCTGCAGAGCCTGGCTTACAACCCTAAAGGTGCACTGGAGCTGTGCTCAGGGGGCAAAACGACACATGGCACTTGCTGGACCGTGCATGGAGCTGATGTGATTTGCAAAACCAGCAGGAAAACGGCCTGCCCTAAAAAATAAGTTGTTTTTTGCTGAGATAACAAGTAAAATGGGCTTCATGAAAGGTCGCTGCCGGCGTGGGGAGGGAGAGCAGAGGTGGGGAACAGGCATTGCTCCCTAAAGAGCAGCGAGGGTTTGGAGGCTCTGCCATATTGTGTGACTTCTCTGCTGTGGGATCCGTAAATGCTGGTAGCGGGGCCATGACGACCGGTCAGGGTGCCTGACGGGGGAGGGAGGGAGGCAGGGAGATGGTGTTGGGCAGAGCCGCGGTGCTGTGCTGCCATCAAGGTGAGTCACGGCTCTGGGACCTGGGAGGTGAATCCAGGCTGTTTGTAGCCCCAAAATGTGCTTCTTTTCATGCAGAACAAACACAGAGGCACTAAATAAGAGAAAATAAAGATTGTATTTTGCAGTTTGAACCCGCAGATCTTGAAATGAGAATGAGCTTCAACCTCTGTTGCATTTGCCTGAAATTTTCTCTCTATCTGTTGGCTTTTTGCTGCACTATGTGGAAATATTCACCCTACAATTTCCTCTTGCGGACATGAAGAAAGTTACTGCTCTGCCTCCCCTGGGCAGCTTCATCTGCGCACCTCTCGCTGCAGCCACTCCACCAGTAATACTTCCAGCCTTGCAGATCCGCAAGCAACATATAAACAGGGGCCTTTTGCTCTGCATAACTCTGGCTTGCTTTTTGTTGAGTCATCCTAGGGACAAGCCAAGAGCCTGTTTATGCCAGCGCACACTGGTATTTCAGTCCACCTCTGCGTGAGTGACGGCTGGCATTGCTGACGGAGCTGCACAGGACATGCCCATCTCCCCTCCCCAAAAGATAAAATCGGCGGAAGAGCCGACAAAACCTACCAGCACATCCGAGCAGGGATTGCTTTGTCCGTTTCGGTGTTTAACCTCCAGCTATAAACTTTCTCCTTCAGGATCTGCATACGAAGTGGGCTTGTAAGTCGGGTGAAGACGTGATGGTAACTTGGCAGTGCGGGGTGCGAATGTCTTTGGTGCCTGAATGCAGTCAGCCTAACTTTAAGGACGTGCTGCTGGTGGCTGTGTTAGCGTGGCAACTTTTCTAGTTTCTTTTCTAGGCGAGAGACAGGCTCCTCCTGAGGCAGGCTGAAGATCCAAAGTGCCAGGTCAAACCTGGGATCAGGTTGTTGCTGTGACGCCTGAAGCAAGAGCCTGAAGTTGGGCGAGGTGAAGGGGGACAACGCATGGAGATCAGAAGGGAGGTGGGGATTGGCCACCCAGATATTGAGTTCTTGCTGACCAGCCCTGCACCGGTCACAAAATACCCTCCAGAGCAGAGGGATCTATTCCTGAAAGGCTGACTGCAAGCACTGTATGCTGGAGGAGAGGAGAACGGGGCAAGGAGGTATTTCTCTTGAAGGAGGTTATTGTGGAAGGAGCTGGTAGAGACAGGAGAGGGCACCAGGCGTAAGGAGCATCCCAGAGCGAAGACGGTGCAAGCAGCTGGTTTGTGGAAGGTTTGGGGCTGTAGCAGACGTTGCCTGTGGCTGGTGTTGATGCTAAAGAGGAGGCAAAGCCTGGGCAACCGGAGGGTAGCTGGCAGTGAAGCGAAGAGGCAGGGGGAGAGGATAATGTTGAGCGAACGCTCCACGTTGTTACGTGACGCGATGTGAACGTTGATGGCTTCCAGATGTTTTCCCTCTGGTGCCAGCAGGAGTTCTGCATGTGCTGTCCCGTTCTGCCTACGTGAGCGGCGTTACCCCAGCCAGCCCTGACTGTCCCCTGGGTCCGAGACCTCTTCTGGCTGGGATTATAAACTCTTTGTCTTTTACGGCTTCTCCTTTCTACGAAGATAAGCAGAGCTGTGCAGGGGTTTGCAATTGAAAAGGGATGGTTACCGAAGATGGCAGGGGTGCAGGGGAGATGCAAAGAGAAAAGGAGAGTGAAGGACGGACGCATTTGAAGTCACTCAGCTCAGACTCGAAGCATGAATAATGTTTCCTATTTCGAAACAAGCGGCCTCTGAAGTTGTTCCCTTCCTGCCCAGACAGCCGTCAGGAGGAATGTAGGGCAGGCGTAACAAGCCCACTGTGCAGACGTGCCGCAGCGTTCCTGAGCCAGCAGCGGAGGCAGGCAGCTGGGATCTGGCTCGTGGGGACGCCTGGGCTTGCCAGTAGCAAGGACCGGCATCGCTAGTGCAAGGCAGCAGCAGGGCCAATAGGCAAAGAAAATCACGCATCTGGGAGGGGAAGAGAAATGCCTTTGCCTTTCTGGGAAGAGATGTGACGGGGAAGGGCGCTGGGGTTGTCAGCCTGGCCGTACAGCCAAAAGAAACCTCGGAGTCAGATCATAACGCGCAGATGGGCCAAACCTGCGGGTGCAAAGCACCAACATCGGACCGCTGGGTTGCAGCGGATGAAGCCGGGTAAGTGTGGCTTGTGCGGAAAGGGAGCTCCACCGACAGGCTCTGCATATCTCACCGGCTCTCCAGGCGTTTCCAGACACCGAGAGGACGCTGCTGTGCCGAGCAGAGCCTGCTTCCACGGTGACGTCTGCGAGGACAGGCACGCTCAAGCTTTGGGACTCGCTCATGTTGATCCCTCTTGGGAGCTAAACTTTACGATACTACGCGCTGTACGTGGTAGGGCGTTAGTCCTGCTGCAACGAGAAGCACTGACTGTTTTCGGCAGGATCAGTCCTTCAGCTTTGGAAAATCACCCAGGGGTTCGTGTTCTTTATTTATACAATCCCCAGTGTCGCTCTCTCGTCCGACTGAAACGTGAAGCACTTACTGTTTTCGGCAGGATCAGTCCTTCAGCTTTGGAAAATCACCCAGGGGTTCGTGTTCTTTATTTATACAATCCCCAGGTTTGCTTGGGGAAGACTCTGTTCCCCATCCCACTCCAGAGCACTAATGTGGTGTCTTCATGTGAACTGCGTCCACCTACGCTGACAGCAGGTAAAGATGGAGCTGCTGGAAGTTATATCTGAACAGGGACATAAACAACACGAGTGACCTGAAAATGGTGGTAGTCCAGACACCCTGCATGGGCAACCCTAAATTTAAACAAGTTTAAAAAAACCCAACAAAACCCATGTATTTTCAGAGCCCTGACTGTCCTAAATGTTGGATTTAGTGAGAATTGCTGGAATGAAGGGACTTACACCACTATGTGTGCGATCTCACCCTGTATTTTCCTGCAGAACGGGGCTAGCTGATACAACAGCAGTCTTTCATCTTAGTTTAATCCACTTTTGACTCCCACGTGCAATTCTTTTTTACATCCATCGAACCAGGACATCGCCCCTGGGGCTAGCTTTTTGTAGGTTGGCTTCTGGGGCTTTTTCATAGCTTTCATGTTTTCTTAGCATGCAACAGTGAGGTGACTTGGGGAATTTAATCCTTTTTTAATATGAGTAAAATTCTATTTTTTTTTTTCTTTCGCAGTTGAAAAGCACGATCCAAAAGATGAAAAGGAAGATAGCGATGATAGTGACATCTCATTAAAAATAGCTTCGGTTTTGCCTGGACTTCGCTATGCCTTACGGAAAGCCACCAGTTCTTCGTGGGGGGACGCAGTCAGCACCAGCATACGTATCAAACAACACTTCCAGGAATACACAAAGCTTGATCAAAATGCACAGCCCACCTCTGGCCAAACCAGCGAAGTTCCCCTTTCTTCTCTCCTCTCACCAACCGAGAATGAATGTGCTAATCCCTTCAAAAAATGCTCGGAGCAGTCCTTCTCCCAGCTGCAGCATTATCTCTCTGATCCCAGCACTTATACTCTGGAAATGTCGGCTGCCTTAGGATGTTTGACTGGCACTGTTCAGTCTCTTTGCTGCGATTCAGAGGCTGATCGTAAAGTGGACTTCTCTTCAGCGGTGCCACCGAGCCCTATTCCTGCCAACACAGCAGGGGAAATAAAAGTCAAAAGTGAAAACCCAAAGCCCTCAGCGTGGCTGGACCAAAGTGGTGAAGGGCCCACAAAAGACGTCAACTTGGCTAGCAAGCTATGGGTGCAGCAGAGCAGGAGGAAATCCAGCCGAGCCGTCGTGACCAGAACCAGGAAGAAATGGTCACCCCTCAAGATGCAAATGCATCCTATGGGGGACAGTGGCAGGAACAGGAAAGCAACCAAGAAGAAGAAAATTAGCATTGCTCTCTCTTTTCCTAAAAAGCCAGGGCTCACGGCCAATTCCAACGAGCCCATGCTTAAATTAGCCAATTTGCAGTTTCCGCACAGAAGGAAAAGAGGTAAGTGCTATATAAATGGGACTGACTTTCTCCTGCTTCTCCGGGGTATCCAGCCGGGATACTGAGGGCTCACTAGGAGCCATGTCCCCTCACCATCTTCCCGGGTGCCCAGAGCAAGCAGATGCCTCCTGAGAGCGTCCACATAGGTCTGTGGTGATGTCTCTACAGTCATGTCTCTACAGTCTCTCGTTCAGCCTGGGAAGGAGCCCAGGGCTGTGACAGGGGATTTCAGTGAAGGTGCCTGAAGCCCGGTGCAGTGGTCCATGCTGTTGCCTTCCTTTGCTTCCCGGTGACTGTGCACAGGGACATCAGCCAGGTCATGGTTATCGCATCCCTTGTCCACGGGCTGTCGATGGCTCAGGCAAGGAGCGGTTGCCAAAGCCGCAGTCATTACAGGCTGCCTAGGTAACCAGGTATCCTACACGGTCACGTTGTGACTCCCTGAGAGTCAACTTTCTTGCTGTGGCCTTGAGGAAGCAAGAAGCGTGAGACTGATCACGCCCAACTTACTCTTCTGAAAGCTGGTATCTGGCCTGAGCTGCTCATGCGAGGTGTCTCAATGGCATAAATTGTCCTCTGAAGGCTCCTGTGTCGCTGCTGAGGATAGGCTAAGCCTGTCCTTTTGAGCCAGTCTGAGCCTCTACCTGATCTGTAGAGACATTCAAAGTGGGTTGAGATGAATCTCGACCTTGGTGATGAAACGTGGCCGAGAACACCCCAAAGGAACCCCTCCTGGCGTTTACATACGTCACAGGTAGCGGTAGCGACTGTGAAACGGGCTCTCATGCAGCACGGGGGCTGGCATGGTGTCTGCCCACCGTGGGCTGAAGTCAGCTCTGATTCGTAGTCCATCAAGCTCTGTCCTGGGGCACGTTGCCTCAGGCCTGAGTGAGTTGCTGATGGATCTGGGAGAGGTTCTTGCATTCCTCTTGGAGAGGCAAATAAGTACCCTCAGGGTGCAAGTGTGGCAGGCAGGTATTGGAGTGACTTATCCCCAGAGAACACCTATTCTAGGCCAGGAAAGGAGGCTTTTAATGAGCTTAAGAAGTGATGCTTAATTTTTAGTAACTGCTTACTGATCACTCACATCAGTAGCAAACCCATTCGTAAGATCAGATGCACAAATCAAGTCGTTGAAAACTGCTGCTGCCAATAACTTCTAGAGCAGTCCTTCCACTTTCCATAACTGGATATTTTGCAATTACTCCTTTTAATCTGAATAGGTCTCAAACCAAAAGAAATGCCCTCTCTTTTCCTTGTCCCAGGTGCGGAGGTCCTGTCTGCAGAATTTGTACACAAAACACAGTCTGAACCTGTTCGGAAGGAAACCTCAGCTCCCGACGATCCTGGCTTGGAAACAAAGAGACCAAAGACACTGAAGAACCCAGACATGAAAAAAGTTCCTGTTGCTGAGACTGTCACGAAGTCAGTGAAAAGTAAGTTGCAAAAAAGTGTGGCTAACGGCCCATCGAAACCTCAAGCAAAGAAATCAAGCAGAAAGTGATCACCGTTACAGGATGTCCAAACCACACAGGGTCTCTTCTCAGTCCTTTCCTAAGCCCTCAGTTTGCATCCTTGGCAAACTGCTGGGCTACTTAAAAAGCCTGATTTTTAACTGCTGAGCTCTGAAACTGTCTTGAGGCAGCTCATGGACAGAGCGTTATAACCTCTGCTCGTAGCCAGCATCTGCCTAGATTTTTAGTCCCTTAGGTTGTAAATCCCGTCGTTTTAAAAAAGAGACGGGTTGTTGCAGCCTTTGCAGACCGACTGCAGCAGATTTAAGAAGCAGCGTGGACAGGCCCCAAGTGTAGCGTCTGCAGGTGCTGGCTGGGAGTCTGCTGTTAAACTGAGAACCAGTATTACAGCGCCAAAATAAATAATGGAACAGGAGAGTCGTTTTCTGTTAATTTGTCATGTTTTCTCACGCTAGTGCTTTGATGTCCTTTTTCAGATCTGTCTCTGGTCTTTCTTTTTCCCCTTCCTGGGGGAGGTGGACACTTTGGAGACTGGTTTAGCCACCTCAGCTCAGTTTATCCATTCTTCTTGGACTTTTCTTGAGACGTGTTCCTGAAACGTGGCACTTTTCATCAGCATGTGTGTATCAAATGCCGCCCCTCGTTGCCCCTGGCACGTGGGGGTTCCCAGAGTGGATCTGGCCAGTGCTCTCACACAGGCAAGGTGTCAGATGGGTCCTGCCGAATGCCAGAATCTGCCAAAAATGCAAAATCAGAGTGCTTAGGAGTAAGAAATAGTCAATTTATATCGAGTTCCCAAGGAAATTAAATGTAACACATAGGACTTTAGCACAGATGTAGTTTTATAAGGTTTTACTTGAAGAGAGATTTTTGTGCTGGTTTTTAGTAGAAGGCATTAACCTTGTTTAATGACTTCATACTGTTTTTACTAACATGGGCCTTGAGCCATGGTGAGGGGCATTTTTAACACTGAAAACTAAACGAACACCTAATTTGCTGTGCTCTGACTGCCTTTGGGAGCCCCCAGGTTTCTGCATGTGCTCCGAAGTACAGCTCAGGGCAGGTGATGCTCTTGAGAGGGTGTGCAGTGGGAAGCATGAGGGCAGGGGGTTTTTCTCTGTGTTTTAGAGGTTTGGGTTTGTTTTTTTTTTGTAACTGTGGATTATTGAAAGCATAGCACAGGGTTTATCTGAGAAAATTGCAAATACTCAAACTAGAAGAAAATTTAAAGAGGGGGAAAAAAAAGGATTAAGAAAACACTTAAAATATCTCAGGTTGTGTTTAAGTGGCCAAACTACCCTGTGCACAGAGGCCAAGGGAAATTTTGTTCACTCTGGATCCCGTGCCTTTTATTTCTGAGAATAAACCCTTTTCCTGAAGTTGCTTAGATCCCAAGTCTGGATCCTTTTGTAGCAGCCGTGAAGGTGGTTTTGTAGCACGATCATGGAGGTGGGTTTTTTTTAAGTGTGCAAATTCCATGTTGGAGAGACACTTTTTTCCTGCCAAACTGAAAGCCTGCTTTGAACCCCTTCTCGAGGCAGAGCTCTGGGGCCTTTACTTGTTCTCTGACTTTGTTTTTCTCATGCAGAGTGGAAGGAGCCATTCTCTGTCCCCCCGAGCGAAGTTTCTTCCCAATACCACGGAGCCGATAGCCAAACGAGTGAGAGCCAAATGAGTGAGATTTACCCAGGCGGCGTTGCTGATCTCGGTTTCGATCTAAAGGGGAACGACTACGAGTCCCACGCCTTGAACTTGCTGGCTGATCTGGCTCTGGGCTCTTGTATCCCTTCATTTATCCCCAGGGACAGCGAGGTGATCTCTGTGTCCTGCAGCCCCTCCAGCGACTCTGCAAAGGAGCAGCAGAGTCATCGCAAGCACAAATCCTTGCGTGTTGCTTCCGACCACGAATACCACAGGGTAGACAAGCTTGCAAAGGGAGCCACCTCCCCTAGCAAAGCATCGCCGAACCAGAAGCTTCCTCCTGCTGAAAAAAAAGACTTAAATGACTTGGCCTCTGTTCCCAGGGAGAAAAGCCCTGGGATTTTCAGCAAGAAGAACAGTGTGAGCCCCAGCCCCGCAAAACCCCGTGCGTTGCATCCAAGAGAGACTCAAGAAGCTGCCGAGGTGAACAAGCACTCCTTCATCTCCGCCGAGCACTCGTACGCCTCGCAGATGCCTGAGCACTCGAAGAAACACACGTATCCCAGAGGTGCCCCCTACCCCGGACCAGCACCCGCCAGAAACGGGACCAGGAACGCCCGAGCAGGACTCCTGGTTGGGAAAGTCCTGCCTTTCCGCCACCAGCAGCACAGCACCCACCACCACCGGCCCTTCGAAGCTGTGACAATGAGGCGCAGGAGCAGCCTGCTCTCCCCTAGGCTGAAGGACAACTTTGCCAAGTCCCACACAGTGAACATCTGCGGCGAGTCCGTGAAGGTGACGTGCCATTGGGAGGCAGAGTATCTCTTCAGTTTGGACAGCAGGTACACCAACGATGCCCTGGAGAAAACCGTCGTCCGCGCCCTGCACGGGTAAGTCAGTCTGGAAGGCCGTCTGCAGGGGACGTCTCTTGCTGGACGTCTGGAGCGCTTTTGGAAGGGGGTATCTTTGCTCTTTTCTGCTTTGCTTTGCACGATAATTGCCTTTTTCCCCATGCTCAGATGCCCAGTTTTGCTGTGTTAAAGCTGATATGTCTTCCCTGCAGAGAAGGACTTGGGGATACTGGTGGGTGACAAACTGGACGTGAGCCAGCAATTTGCACTTGCAGCCCAGCAAGCCAAGCGTATCCTGGGCTGCATCCCCCGCAGCTTGGACAGCAGGCGAGGGAGGGGATTCTGTCCCTCTGCTCCGCTCTGGGGAGACCCCCCTGGAGCCCTGCGTCCAGCTCGGGGGTCCTCAGCATGGGAAGGACATGGAGCTGTTGGAGCGGGGCCAGAGGAGGCCACCAAAATGGTCAGAGGGATGGAGCATCTCTGCTGTGAGGAAAGGGGCTGAGAGAGCTGGGGGTGTTCAATCTTGAGAAGAGAAGGCTGCGGGGAGACCTTATTGTGGCCTTCAGTACTTAAAGGGGGCTTATAGGAAAGATGGGGACAGACTTTTTACCAGGGCCTGTAGCGACAGGAAAAGGGGCAACGGTTTTAAACTGAGAAGGGTAGGTTTGGTTTTGACGTAAGGAAGAAATGTTTTATGCCAAGGGTGGTGAGGCACTGGCCCAGGTTGCCCAGAGAAGCTGTGGATGCCCCATCCCTGGAAGTGTTGAAGGCCAGATTGGACGGGGCTTTGAGCAACCTGATCTAGTGGAAGATGTCCCTGGCATCGTCCCCCATGGCAGGAGGATATTGAACTAGATGATCTTTAAAGTTCCTTCCTAACACAAACCATTCTGTGATTCCCATGACTCTGCAGCTAGAATTGGTACCTAGAGCCACGAACAGAAGTCCTCCTTTGCAGCTGTGAGTTTCTCTTTTTTTCAATGAGCCGGAAAAACCGCATCAAGTGATCTGTGTCCGCAGCTGGGCATTTGCAGCCCCCCTGTATCTGTGCTTAGCACTGTGGGGAACCAGGAGGTGAGTTATCTTGTGCTGGTCAACTGGTGGGAGGATGAAGACGTTTCAGGCTGTGTTTGCTTTTCCTTCCAGGCCCTGGGACCCTGATCTGCCCGATGACGTGGAAGAGATGAAGCTGATACTTCATATGTGGGTGGCTCTCTTCTACAGCAAACCCAGCAAACTCCTAAGCAGCACGAGGAAGGTGGTGGAGCACAGCAACCCCAAGAAGTACGTCTCAATAAACAGCACTGGGGACTTTCTTGAGCTGAGTGATGACGGTGAGGATTGTTTTGGGTTGGAGATGTGCCCTGCGGACTCTCGGTCAGACCCTGACCAGACTCCCAGCAGCTCTCTGGATCACAGCACACATTGTCAGGGACCTTCCTGCCCGGAGGAGAGCCCTGCAGATTCCCAGACTGATGCTGATGGGACTCTCGGTGTTGTCGATAGTACAGTGTCATCTTCTTCAGGGGAGCTGCCCTGTGAGGAGGAGGAGCCTTCCTCCACAAGCTGTCCAGAGAGCCTTTCCCCCACTGAATATGCTGATGAGAGCCTGGCTGTGAAAGACAGGCAGCCAGGGGTCATTCCTGAGGAGCGTGTGCATGACGTCTCAACCATCGCTGTGGTAAGAGCTCGGGGTTTGGGTGATACGAGTCTACAGGGCACACAACGCATTTTACGCTTACGGGAGTAGGAGCAGACGTCCTTGTGGGCTGTCTTAGAACCAGGTCGTGGGGGTCCCCAAAACAGGACAGAAAAACGTCCCCCCCAGCATTTAGCTGCCCCAAGTGATTGCCACACAGCCGTGTTCAGAGTCACGATAAAAAAGAAGCTTTCAGGCCTCAGTCCGGGTTTGGATGTCCTCTTGGACTGAGCTGGCACCCCCAGGCACTGGCACGAGCTGTGTCTATCCCTGTCCAAGGGAGCGCGGCCTCGACACCGATGCTCTCCAATGGGGAGGAATCCCAAAGAATTAGAGCAATGAAGGTGTCGAGCTCGGCATCTGTCCCAGGTTTCTGCTGCGAGCTGTGCAAGCCTGACCGAGGTCTCAGACCTGCACTTAACTGAGGGAGGAGAGGAACCACAAACGCCTCAGACCGACACTCAGAAGCCTGCCTGTCTCCTGTGGGCAACTGCATTTGTCTGCCCGTGGTCGCAGCAGCCCAGACGTGTGACGGGACACGGCACAGCCTTTCCTCCGCTGGTTTGGGAGAGCTGAGGTTTGCTGGCTTGGAGAGGTTTCCCTCACACAGATAGCAGTGCAGTGCTTTGCAACATTTCCCTCGCCCCTCTGGCGAAGTTAGTTAACATTCCATTCTGGGTAGGGTTTTTTAAATTATTTTTTATAGTTTCTACAGTTTACAGATGGTCAGGAGTGGAGGTACTTGAGTAAAATTAAAACATGGGTGTCTGATGAACTTTTTCAAGCCTGAGTTAAAATAATTCCTTTAAAACTTCCCCTCTGAACACAGGGGCAGCTGCCGTAGGCCTGCAACTGTTTTGCACAAAGCAAAAAATATCCCAGTCTTTTTTACCACCTGGGTTTAGTGCTGTGGAGCAGGCAGCAGTGTTTTGGGAGGAAATGTGGGATCACTGTCCGTGGTGTCCGTATAGCTTTCTTGGACAGATAAACTCAGTAGAGATAAGAGGATGCTGCTACATACGTTACCTCTAGGCAGCAGCTGATGGCCCCTGCACGGTTTGGCCTATTTTTAAGCCATTTCATGGTGTAAAAGAAGATAGAAAGTTTCAAATCCTTTCCCTGGCTGTCTGTGGGACTCTGCTTCCAGTGGCTCACGTGGGGTAGGGATTCAACCTGGACTTATTTTAGAGACAAACTCCAACTAATGTCCTCAGATGCTGTTGGAATGGTTCTGCTCACAAAGTTTGAGCATTTAAAATATCCGTATCCCCCTGCATGGGTGTCTCAGCTTCTGCATTTGCCTCCCTTGAAGATTAACCTCTGAATTGTGTTGTTTCAGGAGGAGCCGCCCAAGGAGGGACTGCTGGACGCTACGATTGCCCCCAGCCCTTCCGATGAGCTCGGCAACGCTGGCAAGCCCCCAGCTGCGCTGGGCAGGGAAAACCCATGCAACCAAGCCCCAAATTCCAGTATAGCTCCCTGGAGCGATGCACCGAGCGCGCTGCGTGGACGTGGAGAGCAGCCGAAGAGCGGGTGGGCAGCAGGGTCAGGGGGTGGCCCCGGCCCTCCTGAGGAAGGGGAGAACACGGGAGATGCTGGGCACTGTACGGAGGTTGAGGATGGCAGCTGGGCCATCAGCAATGGACCGCAACGTGGCTGTGATTCAATGCTCTTAGAAACGAATCCCGAAAATGCAAAGCCCGATGGAGTTGGTGGGGAAGGGAAGGAATCACAAGACCCCTTCAGACATCCAGAAGAAGAGGAGGAAGAGGTGGAGGAGAGGAAAAAAGAGAAAGAGGACTCTGAATATGAAAGCACAGTCCTGAGGCCTGGTGATTTAGCATTTTCTGAAAGCGGTGATGCCGACATGGAACATGAACACAGCGAGCAGAAGCCAGTGAATTCAGCATGTCTGAAGGACTTTGCCCTTTCTGAAGAGGGTCCCGTGCCCAGCCCCACTGCCTTAGCATCCTCCTGCCTGGGCAGATCAACACCAGTGCTGTCAGATGGGACCGGGACTGGGGTTGGCCCTCAAGGGCTTCTTGGTGAGATGGCACCAAGCCTGGACACGTTGCAAGAGCCCTGGGAGGCTCTGGCCACCTCGGGTGTGGAGGCAAACGTTGTTGGTTTGGCACACACAGCCAGTCCAGCCGATGCGGGGTCGTCCCATGACAGCGGGTTGATGCTGTTGTTACGATTTGATCCGGGCCTTGTCTGTGGGGCACAGCCAGACAGCATTACAGGCAACGCGGGGCCTGCCGGAGAGACGCTCAGGGACAGCTTGGAGCAGAAAGACGAGGATCGTGCGCCCTCTGCAGAAACATGGGCGCTTGCTGGGGGCGAAGCTGCCAGCACAGCTGGCCTCGAGTCACCCTGCGGCCAGGGACTGTCACTAACCTCGTCCCCTGACTCCAGCTCTGTCTGCCTCACGTCTCTTGATGGAGCAACAGATCCAGGGGCTGCTCAAGAGGAGCAGGAGGCCATGGCAAGCATCCAGTCTCCGTCAGAGAGCGGCCTGGGAGGGAGCAGCAGCCTTTACCAAAGGTGCGGAGGCGATGTTTATGCTGACCTCGCTTTGCTGAGCACTGGTGAATCAAACCAAGAAGGGAACAGGTTTTTGGTGGAAGAACAGCGTAGCAGCCCTTCTGCCAACCAGACAGATGTGCTGGGTGAGTCGTCGGGAGCAAGTGATGGCCAGGGCTTCGCCTTCGATGGTGCAGCCTTAGCAGGTGACTCTGGAGCTGGGGAGGGTGATGATGTGTGCCTTGGTGCAGAGAATTCCCCCGGGAGCGATGAAACGAACACAGGGATGGTGACTAACCCACCGCAGGAGCCAGCAACCTTTCTTCATGACCTGCTGGAATCAAAGCCCTCCTCCTCGGTGAGAGAGGGGATGTCTGCCCTGAAGGAGCATCCCAGGCAGCAACAGAGCTCCCCAGACAGCCTGTCCCCGCCTGCCCACGCACGCTTGGCTCCAGCTTCTCCCCCCCAGCAGGACCCTCTCCCCTGCGGCGGAGATGCAGACCCCCACCACCACTTGTTAGAGCAAAGGGAGTGGGGGCCAGTTCTGTGCCAACACGGGAAGTCCTGCGAGCAAGTCGGTGCTGCAGAGGTGAGTGTGGCTGCCGAGAGCCCGGACGGCTCCTTAAAGCCCAGGTGTGCAGAAGAGGTGAAAAAAGACATGGGTCCGTGCTGTGCAGAGCCGGCAGAGAGCTCCCCCGTGGATGTGCTTGTGCCGCCGGGTGATCTGGGATCAATGCCTCCTTCTCCTCCCCATGGTCACAAGGCAGGTCTGCACAGCGCTGAGCGGGACTCAGGCCTCGGTGTGCACCCCAAGACGCTCTGTCCTGGCACGAGTCCGGCTCCAGGCGGTGCCCTGTGGTCCTGCTGCGTGGGCACCTGCCCCAGGTGTGCCAGCCCTGGGGGCCAAGCAGTGGATGCGGTAGGGAGCCACGAGAAGGAACCCATCCTGCCTGAGGATTCAGGAGGAAGCAGCATCCCTCTTGCCAGTCCTACATCTTTTTCAGCAGGGGAGTTGCTCATGCCACTGCGCGAGCCCCAGTCTGTGTGTGACTGGGGCGAGCACGAGGCCGAGGGATCCGACGTGTTTGCTGATCTGCACCATGCCAGCGTGGAGGTGGGAGAGGGAGAAATCCCCGCTCTCCCCTCCCCGATGTTGCCGTTACGTGCGCATGGGTGGCTCTCTGGAGAAAGCTTGGAGCTTAGTGACGCTGAAGATATTTCGAACGTGCTCCCGAGGGCAAAGCAGCTCCCCAGCAAAGACAGACGCGTGGGCTTGACCTTTGAAGATCTGTTTGAGACCTTCTCCGGCGACTCAGACCAGGAGTATTTTGGGGGGACTTCACGGAGTTTCTACAGCACGAGATCTGTGGATGCTGCGGGCACAAGGACTAACTGCGACTCCTCCTCCACAAGCTCAGCGCGCGCGGAGGGGCGCAGGGAGGACTGGGGCTCGCTGGGCACGGAGTGGGGCCGCTCACGGGCTGAGCGCGGCTGGCCCAGCGGCCCGGGGGAAACCAGCAGCGGGCACGTTCCACCGTACGTCAGTATTAGGGACGGCCAGGGGATCGCCAAGAACTACCGGAACTTCGTGGTCACCAAAAAGTGCCAGGAGAGGATGGGAAATTCGCAGCCTTCAAAGAGTTGCAGCCGCTGTGCGGAGCAGTCTCATTTGTTGAGGTCACTGATGGGGACTTGGAGGGGTTTTGAGGAAATCACTCAGCACACTTTGGACATGGAGTGTCTTCGTTTCCATTATAAGCTAAAACAAATCCTAAGGAGTGGGAAACCAGCCTTTTCTACCTCCAAAAGCATCTTTCCAAAAGACTTATCTCCCCAGGTGATGTTTAAGACATCGCCTGTGCGAGAAGCTCCCATCCCACTTTCCCCGAGGAGCAGGAGCCCTTTGCAGGTGACAGTCCTGCCCTCCGACACACGGCTGAGCGGGCTCGGCTGGCACCGGCGAAGCGGCTGGCATGGGGACCCGTGTAGCCCGTGGCAGGACACCCTCCGCGACGAGAAGAGCAGGGCCAGATCCCAGCGCCAGGGCCGCACGGCTCCCTTCCACCTCAGCAAGCTCAAATACAATAACGAGCTGCAGCACTCGCAGGGGGACATCGCTGTCATCCTCGACGAGTACGCCGAGTTCAACAGGGTGATGCTGAGCAGGGCTGAGGCGGGGAGCGAGGGCAGAGGGCCGGTCCCGGCACACGGGGAGGCGGCGAGCAAGTGGCCGTGCACGTCCCTACCTGGGAGGATGGCCGCCTTCGAGATGATCGCGGACCTGTGCAGCACGCTGCGTTTCCGCCTGCGCAGCGTGGCCAAGGAGGCCTGCAGCCACGCCGGCATGTTCTACCTGGTGGAGACGGGCAAGGACCCTTTCTTTGCAAGCGTGAAGGTAACAGCCAGTCCCACCAGCCTGGACGGGGATGGGTGGCCCTGGGGTGAGAGCTGAGGGCAACCGGAGCAGGCGCAGGGCAAGCTTGCTCAACCCAACATGGATGGCGTTTGGCTCCCTTAAGCCTGGAGCCGTCTCTGCCGTTTCATCTCAGCTCCCACTGCCAGAAATTAGAATCACAGAATCATTTAGGTTGGAAAAGACCCTTAAGATCATCGAGTCCAACCATAAACCTAACACCGCCAAGCCCACCACTAAACCATGTCCTCGAGCACCACATCTCCCCGGCTTTTAAATACCTCCAGGGATGGGGACTCCACCCCTGCCCTGGGCAGCCTGGGCCAGGGCCTGACAGCCCTTTCCGGGAAGAAACTGTTCCTAATATCCAATCTAAACCTGCCCTGGTGCAGCTTGAGGTCGTTTCTTCTTGTCCTATCACTTGAATGTTCCCCAGGCCAAAACAGATCAGAGTTCATGCAGGAGCAGCCCAAACTCAACCCCTGCAACGTGGCTGCTGCTTGAGCTCTCCTTAAAGGGTTGGAAACTCGGGGAGGGCAATCGCATGGGAAGATTTGCTGCTCCAAAATAGCGAGGAGGCCCGATGCGTGGTACGCTGAGATGCTCGAGGTGGTTTTCTAAAAGGTTTTTGCTGACGGAGGTAAATGGCTGCTTCTCCCCGCTCTGGCTGGAGCCCCGGCCCGGGGTGCACAGTGCCTTTGACAGACGGACACCATAGGGTGCCTGGTTGGGGTCGCCGTCTCGTTCCTCTGTCCTTGTCCCCAGATATGTGCGTGCCGGGAGCGTGGCACCGCTGTTGTGAAGATCTTCTCCGTACAAACCTTCTTACACGATTTCTGTTTCAGACCTTGCTGAAGAAAGACGGCCGCATGGAGATCGAGCCTCTGAGCTTCTGCAAAGCGAAGTGCCCGGGTGCTGACAGGCTGCTCGTCGTCATCAGGAACGAGGACATTTCCTCGCACATCCACAACGTAAGGCCCGAGTCCATCTTTTTTTTTTTTTTCCTCCCAGCACCATTTTTGAATATCAGGATCCATTTTAAAGGTTTTTAAATTGTACGGTATATATAGCTGTAGGTTGAATTGTCAGTCTCTGTGGAGACACTGTTCCCTCCACGGAAAGAACAGTGCTTCGTGAAGAGCTGTTAAAAACAAATGTCTCAAAACCATGAAGCCTGTCAGTTCTGCTTTTCTTCCCTCTCCATTTTTGATCGCTGAATAACATCACTTGGAGTAGCCCAGCTCAAAGGAGTCAGGCTGGGCTTATCTTGTGTAACGGAGCGCTTCAGCTGGGCTTTGGCTCGTGGGCTGCAGTGAATATTGCAGCAGACTGAGCTGCAGGTAGCTCCCTGTATCAGCATCCGCAGCTTTGGGGTCAGGCTATGGAGACGTGAGCGTCGGGGTGATGCGGGCAGAGGACAGGGTGGGCTCCCCGGGTCTCCCAGGAGCGGCTGTGAGCTGCAGAGAGGTGCAAATGCTGTTGAAACACAGCTGTGTGCGCAAAAGCATGTTTGCCTTGAGCAGGTCCCGTGCTTGCTGGAGCTAAAGCACCGTCCGAACGTGGTGTTTGCCGGAGTGGACAGCCCCGAAGATATAACGGGTCGCATGTACCAGGAGCTGTTTCATACCGGTGGCTTCGTGGTGTCGGACACCGAGCTGTTGGAAACGGTAACGCTGGGTGAGTCTCGCTGCGGCCTCTCGCTTGGATGCAAACACAGCGTTGGCTCCCAGCCTTGTCCGCTGGTTTGCCCACACCTCCCGAAAACTTGCCCTGGGCATCCTCTGCTCCTGCTTTAGTGGGGGCACTTCTTTCCCTCCATTTGACATTTGTAGACCCCGTCTGGATCGCGGGTCTGGGTCGGGGCTCCCAAAACCATCTAAGGACAGCGAGGGCCACCAAGAGGCTCAGGGGCTGGAGCAGGGGTTGTACAAGGACGTTCAGCCTGGAGAAGGGAGGGCAAAGGGGAGGCCTTGTTGCCGTCTTCGGCTCCCTGATCGGAAGGGGCAGAGAAAACGGAGCCACGCTCCTCCTGGAGATGCGCAGTGATGGGACGAGAGGTGACAGGGACAAGTTGCTCTTATCCTTTTGGATGTTGGGCGGGGGGGAACTCTTCAGTAATTGTGTTCAGACATCAGGACAGGATCCCAGTTTCACGACCCGGGTTGTGAATCTCCATCCTTGGAGATATTCAAACCTCACCTAGACAAAGCCCCGAGCAACCTCAGGTGGCCCAGCTTTGAGCAGGGGTTGGGCCAGGGACCCCCCGGCACCCTTTCCACCCTCGGTGACCCCCCGCCTCTTTCTGTCCCTCCAGGCCAACTGAAAGAGGTGGTGAAGGTGCTGGAGAAGCTGAACAAAAGCGGGAGGTGGAAGTGGCTCCTTCACTACAAGGAGAGCAAGAAGCTCAGAGAAGGTGTCAGGTAACGGCTCTGCGGTGGCAGCTCCTGCTGTCCTCGTCGCCGCAGCAAGGATGTCCCCACCGTGGTGGACTGTGGCATCCCTTGCAGGGACACGGGGCGAGTTAGGCGCCTCTGGTTGGGTTTTGGCCTCTTACAAGATGAATTTGAAGATTTTTGTTTAAATAAGATCTTTTCTTATCGGTGAGAGACCGTGCGCCTCAAGCCTGGAATTGCCGGAGGTCAGCATTTGCGCCCTAGCAAAGTCAAGTACGATAGATTATTTTTTTTTTTATACCTCTGTGAGATGGAGCAGCAGGACACTGGCCCTGGAGAGGATCAGATGGCCTGAAATGTTGTCTTGCACGTGATCCCGGATGAGGCAGAGCTCTGGCAGCTGCTTCTTGCACCCCGCTGTATCTCCGTAAGGCGGTTCCCCCCTCTCTTTGGCAGAGATGCCCTCTGGGAGCGTTACAGCCTGCAAGGGACTTGAGGAAAGGCACAAATTTCGTTTGAGGAGCTGCACGCTCCGAAAGCTGCCTCTGCAAACCGAGCTCCCTTCCCACCAGCTCACCCCAGCTCCTGCACACCCAGCGGGAGCTCCGGGGACCTTCCTGGGCCTCTGCCCCGCCGTCTCGTTGCTGTTTCTTTTTCCATCCCATTGCTTGTGCGATTTGGGTGAGCGATGAGGAGCTCTGACTTTCTAACGTGGAGAGGAACTGGGGTGTCTTGGGGAGCGCCTAAAATCAAACCCTGCTGGGAAAAGCAGAACTTCTCCTGTTCATATTGCTACTTATTTTAGGTTATTTGCAACAGTGTGTATTTAAATGGTGCGATTTGAAAAAGAGAAGGAAAACGGCAAATATTTTCGTCGTGGTTTAACCCCAGCCGCCAACTCAGCCCCCCACAGCTGCTCGCAAACCCCCGCAGCGGGATGGGGGAGGGAATCGGAAGGGTAAAAGTGAGAAAACTCATGGGTTGAGGTAAAACCAGTTTAACAGGTAAGGCAAAAGCCGTGCACACAAGCAAAGCAGAGCAAGGAATTCAGTCACCGCTTCCCATCGGCAGGCAGGGGTTCAGCCACCTCCAGGAAAGCAGGGCTCCATCACACGTAACAGTGACTTGGGGAGACAAACGCCGTCGCTCCGAACGTCCCCCCTTTTCCTTCCTCTTCCCCCAGCTTTATGTGCTGAGCATGGCATCATACGGTGTGGGGTATCGCTTTGGTCAGCTGGGGTCAGCTGTGGGTGAGAGGCAGAAAAGGCCTTGACCCTGTGTCAGCACTGCTCAGCAATAACGACACATCCCTGGGTTATCAACGCTGTTCCCAGCACAAATCCAAAACACAGCCCCATAGTAGCTACTGCCAAGAAAATTCACTCTCTCCCAGCCCAAACCAGCACAATTTTCCATTGAAATGTCCTGCTTTTGTCATGTTTGAAGTCAGGGGGATGTTTGTATCGGGCAGGCTGCCTTTGTTAGTGCCAGACCACAGGCCAGAGAGCACGGCTTTCTAGTAACCACCTGCGAGCAAAGAGGAAACTGGTCTGCTCTGTCTGAGCAGAAAATGCTGCAACGAATGGGGAGAGATCTCCGATCCTCCCCCCACTCCGCCTTCATGGTGACAGCACAAAGTAAGCGGTCTGAAGATCTGGTTTTCACTCCTTGAGCGGCGAGGTGCTGCAGAAGCTCGGGGTCGGGTGTTTCACCGCAGTCTGCAAGGCGAGGACTCAACCCGTGCGGAGTGGGTGCCGCTGTGGAGCAAGTGTTTTCTTTGTGCTCCGTCAGCAGCACTCACGTAGCATCTCTGGACTCCGTTGTGGCGGGATAACGAGCCGCGGTCCGTTGCTGCCTCGAGCAGGGGGCCATTTTGTTTTCCTGCTGCATGCACGGCCCGTATGGTGACGCTCCGGCCATCTCCGTTTAGCGCAGGGTAGCAAAGCACCCACGAGGCTGGAAGAAACATGCACGGGGGAGAGGCAGGTCCCATCGTTCCCGCTCGTTCCCTGGGAGGGGAGAAGAGGGGTGAAGCCCCTCGCCGCTTCACCTTGCCCCTCTCCCGGCAGGGCGGACGCCAGCGCTCGCAAGAAGCACTTGATCCTCAGGTCGTGCCAAGGAGCCGATCTCATCGAGGTGCTGCGCTACCACGCCTGCGACTCCGGGGCGTCCCCCAGATCCCAGTACGTCGAGTGCTTGTTGAACCTGCAGGTTGAGCGCGTCGGCGCCAGGTTCGCTGTGTATCTCACAGGTAAGGACGGGCGCTGGTGCCCTCAGCCCCTGCGAGCACCATCTTAAATCGGCCTGGGAGGTGGCGGAGGAGGGACAAGAAACGCCCTGCTTGCTCCCATTTCTGCTCGAATCATGGGTAAGGTGTGAGTTGATTCAGTGCAGTAAAAGGCAACGGATTTTTGGAGCTCTGGTAAATTCCGGCAATTTTCTGAGCCTGCGGATGGCTTTACGTCACGCCCTAATTCTGGCCTCGCCGGGCTGAGGCTGTTTGCAAAGCGGCGCTGTTGATCTGCTCACGTTTGCAAAACAGAATAACCGCGGTGGGATGCGGGGATATTTTCTGTAGGTTTCAGAACATCGTTCGCTTGTTTGGCTTACGGTGCCGCTCCTTCCTTTGCAGAAAAGCCCAGCGCCAGCAGGGAGGTCCTTGAAAGCAAAGGAATCCTCGTGGCCGACGTCAACACCTTCCTTGGGACGGTGCAGAAAGCGGCTGCCCCGTTTAGAAGAAGCTACTGGTAAGGGGGGGAGGTCAGGATTGTCCCCTTCTCCCCCAAAAGTCCCGGAGCAGCTCCTGGGATGGCAGGCAGGGAGCTGGGATCTGCTCCGGCTCTGCCAACACTTAGGGCTGACTCCTGAAGCCGGGAAGGCCCGTGCTCGGCACCGCCGGCGCCGGGAAAGACGCCGGCGCTTCCCTTGGGGAAGCTCTGCGAGGGGTGGGCGCTGCCCGGAGCGAGGAGGGGAGCGGAGCGATAACCCACGCCACGTCTCTGTGTTGCAGGTGACGAAGCGAGGGCGCGGCACGGCTCCTCCCCGGGCTCTGCGGCACCGGTTTGGGCATCCTGGTCCTCTGCGGGATGGCCCCCACGGCCTGGTGGGTTTCGGGTGCTGCCCACGGGAGCACGGAGAGGCGGCGGGGGAAGGTTGGCCCTAGTTCTGTATATAGAAGTTATTTAACGATTACTAATGCAAATCCCCCCGGGGATTTATTCCCTGCCATCGAGCGGCGTGTAGGACAGAGGCTACTCGAGCATTACGCAGTCTTAAATTATTGGAGTGTTTTTGAGTGATTAGTGCAACTGACGTTGGAAGAAATAGGAAAATAAAAAATAATAATAAAAAAAGCCGTTTACTTGAAGGTTAGAAGCAATACGAGTCTAGGATAATACACGCATTTTCCACGTGGGTGTTGCTGCACGTACTGTACACGCGGCGCATGCGTTGGCCGTAGGGTGTACGTTGGAAACGGGTGTCGGCGACGCCGTCGGCCAGCCTGCGGCAGCCCCCTCTACACTACATTTCAAGTGGCCGGTGTTGCCTGTTGGTACCATTTCACTACTGGGACTCGAGCGCGTTCCAGCACGTGGAAATCTTGTAAATAGCCAGAGGGCGGGATGCAGGAACAAAAAACACCAACAAAACCCCCTCTCTTATTTGCAGTAGCTCAAACAAACACAGCTGGGAAGAAAATCCGCATTAAAGACGTTTGTAAGATGCCCTACCTGTGAAGGGGGAGGACAGGGTTGTCCTCTTGGTTTGTTTTGTTTTTTTTTTTTAATTTTAATAAAAGGAGCTGAGATGTTATGTACAGGATGACTCTGTGTAGAGTTTGATTAATAAAAATGTAAAAAAACTAAGTTTCACACGCTGCTGCTGCCTGGAGAGGGGGTTCCCGCTCGCACCCGGCCTCCCCCCGCAGCAGTGGTGGAAGCCGGTGGCTTTCCCTGCTCCCACGTCGCTCAGAAATCGGCTTTGTTCTGCCTTAGCCCCGACGTCGAAGCCTACGCGGGAAGGACAGAGCGAGCGAGGCTCCTTGGGGTGGGCTCGCGGAGACTCGGGGCTGCAGGATCAAAATCCTCCTCCTTCCCGGCAGGAGCGGGGTACCGAGCGCCAGAGGAATAACCAGGGTACAGCGGCGAGGGGGGACGGAAGCGCTGAGGGGAAGGAGCGCGTTTTCCCCGCTCTGTCTTGCCTTTGAAGAGGCTCAGCTCGCTGCTGTCGAGCACCGGAGCGGCTGAGGAGAGGAAGCACAAGGCAAGGGAGAACTTCCCCGGCCGCCGCGCTCCGGTGACGCGGGCACCGGCGGCTTGAAACGGAAAGGTGGTTTCTGGAACCGGCGCCTGGGGAGAGGAAGCGCCGAAAGCCCCCAGGGCCCGGGAGGAGGAAGGGGCGGCCACAGGCCAGGTTTAGCGCAGCGCTCTGTGACGGAGATGCGGTCCAAGCCCCGGTTCCTCTTCAGCGGCAGCAGGGGAGCGGCACGGCTACGGCTGAGGGGAAGGACGAGCCCTGAACCAGCGACCCTACCTGGCCAGGCACGGCAGCCGAGAGGAGGAACGAGCCCTTCCAAGGCATTTTCTCTTTTTTTTTTTTCCTGGCACTTGGCATCGCCGCGTAGAAACGCGAGCCCTGTGCCTCGCCGCCCAACGGCAGGATCGCTTCGGGGATCCATCGGGCTCACTCCGAGGAGGAGAGAGATCCGTGCCCTGCAGAGGAGCCGTAAGAGCAAGAATTGTTTACTACCGCTTCGAGCGAGCGCCGTTTCGGGGCGTAGGCGCTCGGGGGTGGCTGCAGGGAGGGCGCAGGCTTGCGCTCACCCCCAGCTTTCCCCACGGCCACAGGTCTTGCGCTTCTCCCCTGCCAAAAGCAGCCCTGAGAGCAGCTGGAGCAGTTGGGAAGCCCAACCGAGGAAGCCTGAGCCTGTTCTCTCGTGGGAAACGCTCTGCGCCACTCGCGTTTCGACCCTGGCGGGCAGAGATCCAAGGGATCTCGGAAAGAGGATGCTGCTCGGACAACTGAAGTGAATCAGACCAGAGCGCAGGACTGGTTTCCAGAATTTGGCTTTACTTCGCAGTACAGAAATCATTTGGAGCCTTCAGGAGACACGAGAAGCACAGGCTCTGTCATATCGATACCGCAGTGCCGTTTGGTCCATCCGAGAAGCCACCAGGGTACAGAAAATACTTCCACATCTTGCCTGCTCTGTAATTTGTTCTCTCAATTTTATTAAGATTAAAACACAAAGGAGCCTTAGGCACAGCTGTGTCCCAACCGATGTAAACAGTTTTAGAAGCTTAAGTGGAGGTTAAGTTCTGTGCCCAGAACTAAGCCAACATTTGCTGCTACAATAGATGTGGGCTTTGTCCATAATACAACTTGCCACAGAGTTAAGATCGATGGGAAGAGACTTTAGGGATGCTGTCCACAATAATGGAGTGCTCTGTTTCTATTTTCCTTGATATGGGGTTTGAGTGACAACCGTCACATCGACTAGCTCACCAGAAGCACATAATTGTGAAGGATGTTTACAAATGCTTAAAAAGACAAGGTAAGACACAGCTGTCGATGAGTTATTTCAAATCGGCACCAACGTCTACGTCTGCAAATTAAAAAAAAAAAAAAAAAAAAAAAAAAAAAGGAAACAAAAAAAAACCCAAACCAAGTTGAGTCTGCCTTTCGCTTGCGAGGTTAGTCATTAAATCAGTCAGTAATTTGCCAGATTCTGGACAGCAGCCCTACCAGAATGAAATAATTAACACATGATATCCAAAAGGGGAACATTACCAGTGCAGTACTCTTCAATCTCTCAGAGATGGGATTACAAAAGCAGGCCTTACAATATTGAATTTCATACAGTGTTCATTAAGTTCCTTATATATTCATATTAGCCGATTTAAATTTCTCCTAATTAGAGATTCTCATTACTGCTGCTCCTCCTCCCCGTAGATATCGTTTTTCTTGCGTTTCATCTCTTCGAAGTCAAACTCTGATCCCATCATCCGCTTATAAATATCTTTGATGTCATCGCACGTCGTCTCAAAGTGAGTGGTGGCGTCATAGGTGCGAGAGATGAAGATCTGGAAAGAGAAGCGGCAGTTTAGCATCGAGCCTCTCTCCTCGCCCCCTCAGGCACGAGCTGGGCGCTCACTAACCTGGCTTTCGGTTCCCAAGTCGGTCGGCGCAAACAGGTCGCTGATGCTAACGAACCTGGAAGGAGGGGGGGGGGAAAAGCTTCAGAATGGTTGTAAAGCATCGCTGAGCATCCGTATGGGGGCAAGAACGGCTGAG